AAAGATTTTTACACTCCTGATGTTGTCGTCTTTGATTCAAAGACACAAAGCAAAATACAAAGCTGGGGGGGACAAAAAGCTTTAGGCCTTATAAATGTACAGATTTTTTTTTCTCGCTTAAATGTCTGAAATCAGCTAAGGCCTCATAAACTTGACAGAAAATAACACTCAAAGTGGTGAAATCTGTAACTGAGTATTTATAATAGCTGGTAAGGAGTCTGTCTTATTGCTGTCCTGGTCTTTTTTTACAGAATTGTTGTATTTTGGCCACATTCGAGGGTTTTCCAGCATGACTGACCTGTTTAAGGTCAACGGTCAGACATTTTCCTTCAAGATTTGGTTCTGATCCACACCCAATTGCTAAATCATGACCTCTGTCCTTAATTGACTTGTGCTTACAGGGCTTTAGACCTTGTATTTAGTTCCAACCGGGCATAATGTGTTGCTTTTTGAGATATTTTAGCCTATAACCAAACTAAGCCATATACTTAAACAATTCTATTGCTGTGATTCATTTTATTCTACAGGTCTGGGAGTAAACACAGAGACTCAAAATCCCGGAGCAGTTTCTAAGCCAGACCGAGGCTCTACTGAGGCCTTTCCACAGAGCTAGCTCTGTGGTCACGTGGGTCGGATGCTCATTAATTATACAAAATTTTAGGCTTTTAATACACTTAAACAGATGAGTGAGAAAAAAATTCACCCCCCTCAGAGTTGTCATGAGTGTAAACTAGATCATTTAGACAAAAAACATGTTTTGGTACCAGGCTGTAAACATGTTTATTTCTGCTGTGAAATTGGTATTTTTAACATGGGAGTCAATGAGGATTTGCTCGCTTCTGACACCAGCCCCCAGCAGATGAGGGTGGAACTGCAATTTTTGGTACTTCCGGGTTGGGCCCAATTTCAGAGCCGCATTGTGGGGGCTTGGTGCTGCCATTAAAACAACAAAACTACATTCCACTATAATTGATCATGGTACTCTTCTATGATGCAGAATCATTTATGACTGCATCTCGATGTATTGATTATTCGATTATTTTCCTCAGCTCTATCCTACACCTCCCGGCCGGCTGTCGGGGGTGCGGGTGGGGTGTGTTTGGGGTTTGGGGCCACAAAGAGAGGCCCACGTCCGGCCCGCGGGCCTCCATTTGAGTATAGCTGCACTAAGGGGTTCAATATGGATGAATTTTGATGGCAAGAAAAATGCATAAAATGTGAAATAACTTTCCTCCACTAGGGGCACACTGTGTGGGTCAGGCTCAAAAGCTCATTGTGGTGAAGCTAGGCAACCACTTCTCCAACAAAGAAGGTTAGGAGCTTTGTTCTGTAAGAAAATAATTCAGTAAATATGAAAATGTTTCGTGTTCTTAGAACAAAAACAACAAGAAAAACAAACAAACGTTGGTTATTTATAAGCAATTATGTTATCATTGTACCAGCTCGGCCTAAATGACTTCTGATTAGGCTGGATGTGGCCCCTGAACCATGAGCTTCACACCCCTACCTTAGCCAATGAGTGACCAATGTCATGTTTTCTGTCTACTTGGACCCATGCTGGGGCAACAACCTCAAACCCGTTTTTAATTAAGTCTAGAATAGTTCCAGGTTGGCTTGGAAAGCCTTTGTCACTTAATTGAAACATTGTACTCAGGTTGTCTTTAATATCCACGTTTGTTTGCTGATCTGAAACATTTAGGTGACCTAAAGTAAAGCAGAAACAGAAGAAATCTGTTAAGGAGCAAACACCCTTTCACACCACCATATCGTTGATCAATCAATTCCCGAAAAGAGGGTGGAAACCTGCAAATGAGTTTGTGTAAATTCAACGTAGATGAGTGGATCTCGACTGTGAATATGTAGTCAGTCTGCTCGCATCCTTCAGGATTTCCTAACAAAAAATGCAATCAGACAGAAAAAAGTATAGAGGAAAAACCCTTCTAAGTGAGATATTGGCCTCAGATTGTGTTTTTTACTTTCAAATTGGCAAAAACATGAACACAACATTATAAATCAGAGCCCCCACCCCACCACCATCACCACTACAAGTCAGACACAACAGATATCTGGAGACAAAAGGATCAGAGATGATAATGTTTCACCATGGACACATGGACAAGAAATGACCCTTAGCTGAACTCCAGCAGAGTCACAAATATGCTCATTGTGATTTAGATGCTCTCCTCCCAGCATCCCTCTGGCAAAACCCAGGGAGGAGAACAATAGGACAGTTTCCTAATTCCAGCAGGAGATGCTAATTCAGTTCAGAAACAGCAAGGAAATGGGCTCGCAGGAGCAGACCCCAGCAAATACACGACGGATAAGAAACGATTATCCCGCAGATGAGCGGAAAGATGAAAACTAATTTAATAATAAGACCAGAAAATTCTCCAAGATAACAGGGATCTAGAGACCAATCCGAGACCCATCTGGCTTGTACTGCACGTGCCGGAGCCTTTTTCTGCTGCCGGAGCGGTCCATTTAGACAACGGTGCTAAAAGCTGAGGAGTTTCGCTGCACTTACACTCTACAAAGTGAACTTTAACATTTATTTTAAGGAGTTGAGCTTTTAACACTCTTCACACAATGGTTCTAAGGTGCTCTTGTCTATCTTTTCTTGAGTGTTGCTTTTGTACTCTTAGGACATAAGACTTCCTGCAAATAATTTCTCCTTTTCAAATTATGTACTTGGCACATAAAGTTACAAGGTAATTCGGACGATTTTCCTCTTGAACGACTTGCTTTTCCATTCATTGCATTTTTGTTCATAATTTCTTACTTTTAACCTTTTAGATTGCAGTTATTTTACATCAATGTGCAAGAAACGCTCAGAAGAAGTCACATAACAACATTACAACCAACTTGTTCACATGGTAAAATCTCATGTAAAAAACAAATCTAATAAAACATTTTAGATCACTTATGCTGTATATTTTATTTATAAATGCAAATTTAAAACATGTAACTTGTTGAACTGAAATGCAAATATGAAAACCTTTCCTTTTCTGCTGCTTCCTGCTAAAACAAATGGGTTAAATCTTTATAAACTTTGAGTGTTCACTTTTTTCACTCCTGGTAGTTATTTTTTAACTGCTAATGGAGGATAATGTTATTAAAATACTTTTATTCGTGCAAGATTGATACAATTAAAAACAGAAAACGTGTGCAAACAAAATTTGCCTTTGTTTTATCAAACCTATATTATTATTTCTAATAAATCAGACCAGGTATTTAAAATATTTTGATTACCCTACTCACCGCCATTTTTTTACAGTGTGGGCGTTGGAACAAGCCCCCGCAACGTGAGAAGAAACATCCCAGCTCTAAACCTGATCTTCATCTGCGTACGTCACACGTCACGTGATCAGGAAGCAGAAAATCCACGTGTTAGGAGATCGTTTTGGGCCGCTGCTGTAAAAAAGTGAGGCACGAACCGGAAAAGCTTCTGCCGATCACAATTCAACAACGGATTATAAAAGAACGGATAAGGCTCGAAACGCGCGGATTCTTCCTGATGTAAGAGTTAAGTCTACTCTTTGTTTTGGTTGTTTTGCCGTTGACATCATCATAGAGCGCGCAATGTTCTGTGACTCTTAAAAAAAACTGTAAAAACACTGAAAAACGCCGGCAGCGAAGGGCTTTTCTGATCAGGAAACGGATGGCAGTGAATGAGTTAAACTGAATAGAAATACATTAAGTATTAAGTGGACTAAGTGAAGACATCACAATTGTTATGTTTTAAACAAAATTAAACTTGCAATATTTTATTTCTTGATTCAGCAAGTTATTTTCTAGAGTGCACACTGCTTCTAAACCCCTTTAAATGATGCACATCTGCATCGAAAATCTTGCCTTTGACTATAATGTGATAAATTGGCTTGCCATAGCCTCAAGACAACCGGTGATTCACCTGTAATCAGCAACAAGCTGCTTATGCTAGTTAGCATTACATATGCTAATGAGTCTGATCGCTATTTAATGCATTGATCTATAAAACATTTATAAGTTATTTTGGAGTAAACACACATTTATTACATTTTACAGAGTTTTAAATGCACATAAAAAAGTTAACATGCAAGTTTTTAGGTATTTTTTAAGCCTTTTAGTACCTTGAGACCCAGGCTATACTAGTCCATCTCTAGAATAGAAAATACTTCATAGTTTGATCTGCAAGAAGTGATTTAACACATGTATACACTTTCTAATAGCCAATAAATCTTTGTGGATGTTAAAAACAAGAATTATCTGTGTGTTTTAGTACATTTTCGGGTTTAATTAGGCACAAACAGCATTTAAATGTTCTAAACTGTTCCCAGAATGTGTAAATTGTGTTTATGTGCTATACTCTATAATAAAACTTCAGTGCAATCCAGGACGAGTTTTTAATCATCTAGTTTAGGGCATGTATCTACAGTCTCCTGCCTTTATTGGGCTTTTTACAGAGAAAAATGGGATGAATGAGGAAACTGCATTTCACAAAAGAAGGATTAGTCACTTTGTTAGCGCGGGCCTACATTAACGAAACCATTTGTGCCTTACATCAAACGTCGTTGGGAGGGTTTCACGCTTATTTACCTGCCAAAACAGGCATCACTTTGATCCATCTGCTTAGGTCTTGGCAGAATATCTGCTGCACAGAAACACATTTGTGTAATGTATACTTTGTTGTTGTTGTTGTTGTTGTTTTTCCTAGACTGATTACGATGCAAATGACTTTGTCACATCTACATTGATCTCTAAAAGTTTCTCTGTGCATTCTGGCTAGGGTGAAACACAGACTTCCTGCAAGAAATCTTCATGTTTGTTTTGCGTGTTATGTAGGACAGCAGGGATATGCACGGAAACTCTGCTGCATCCCAGATTCTGCAGGTTAACAGGTTATTGATATCTGTATCGCCATACAGGTGCAGTAAACCTGCAGGTGTATTTTTAACCAGAGGAAGATCCGGATTCCTGCAGCAGCAGATTGGTTCAAGTGGACCCAGAAACGGATCACTTACCTTGCCAACGTAGAGCGGCTCATTTCCTGTGTACTCCTCCAATACGAAGAACTGGTTCCATACCCAGCTGCGTTTGTGCCTCTGCAGGCCATCCCAGGGGTCTGGATCAGAGTGCGGGGACTTCTCCAGGTCCCCAGAGGTGGACTTCAGCCCCCAGCAGCAGCCTCTGCCCCTGAGGGTGAACAGGAGCATCAGGAGAGCCAGCGCTCCACGTATGCCTGAGCAGCACCGAGTCATCGTTTTAGGCTCCTCTCCAAAAAGCACTGAAGCAGGAAGAGGAGCTAAATTAAAAAAAAAAAGTATGAAATGTCAAAACCCTTGGGGGTTTATCCGCACAGTCCAGACCTTGTGTTTCACCAGGAAGCAACAGCGGTCAGACCCTGAAACAGGCACATAAGCTCTTAATTTTCCTGCGTTGGTCTTCTTTCTTCATCGAGGACTGAAAATGAGGTAATCCCTTTCACTTCGGAGCCAGAAAGTTGACAACATGGCTAGCCAAGAGGGTCACCAGTGACTAGAGAGGCTTCGACCCAGACTCTTTGTAATTGGCACCTATCAGAACAAAAAAGAGGGAGGAATAAAGGAAGAGACAAAGACGTAGAGGGGAGAAGAGAGAAAGGAGTGTCAGCAGAATTGCCTCTATGACCGCAGTCACTTTAGATAGCATGTAATGTGCCTGCTGATGCAATGATAATGACTTTTTTTTTTCACCAATCCAAAGGAAAGTGGTGAAAAATGAACAGACAGTGGATCCAGCAAATACAATCAACGCACACGCTCACCTTCGCACAAAAGAAGGGAAATTGGTCCGAGGTCAAAGTGTTAATAAGGCTAAGATGGAAGGAAAATGACGAGGCTTTTCTCCGGATGCAAGTGAAGATAATTCACACCGAGTGAAACAACAGTGGCTGTGCAGAATAACAATCAAACACCATTCAGCTGCCTCACAATCATGGGCTTTACCTCAGCAAGGTCATTTTTGTCACATTTCCATCGTGTGAGATTGTGACGGTGGAAAAAGCTTGCCACTCAACTCTAACGAGCCACATGATCTGTGAAGTGAGCGCTCTTCACTGGGATTAAAAATAAATCTGAGCTGTCAGCGGCACCAACGGCCCGGGTGCTCCTGACCTCTACTCCCGAGTTTGGGCCCGGGCTGAGCGCACGCGATGGAGGCGGGGCGCTGTGACAGATCCCCCAAGATGGCAGAACTCGGCGAGCTGTCAGAACCAAGGAGTCACTTCCAGGAGGTGCACAGTACAGTGAACCTCAACTGGTGCCTCTAGTTGATGCTATCATCTAATCGGAGTTGCAGCAACAAATATCCAGCATTAATATTCCTAAAGGACGTGCACGGGAGCAGAGAGCACCGGCGAGGATGAACTCCAGGAGAAGTTTGGAGCACTTGACCACATGTACGTTTACTTCCTCTCTGACCTCTCTTTGTCTCTCCTCTATGTAGAGTGTTGGCAGAGCCCTGGGTGAGAAAGGTAATTGCTTTGGCATACAGTGACCTCTTTCTTCCCACACAGATCCTCCACTTCTCGTTTTACTTCCTCTCCGTTCCCCCCGGCTAAATAAAAACAGCGCACCACACACATCCTGTGGAAGTGATTTGTTGTAGTTCACCACAGGAAAGTCATTAGCCGAACGCTAATAATTAAAACAGAAATAAATCACAGCTGCGTGACTGCCACCTCTGCAGACACCTAGAGTCTGAATTTATTAGAAAACCACATCCTGTTGTTGTTTGTTTATTTATTTATTCAAACCCAGATTTGCATTTTCTGTCAAGGTGCAAGTCGTCATCAGCTGTTAGCAGCAGCTGGAACAAAAACTGATATCTATGTAATGTTTTAATGGGAGGAGGTGGAAAGTGGAGCAGATCAGGCTGCAGGGCTCGTGGAGGCAGGTTGGTGGTGTGGTCAGACTCAGCCAACTTCACGCATGCCCCCCCCCCCCCCCCCCCCCCCCCCCCCCCCCCCCGATCCAACCTGAGGGAAGATGGAGCTGCGATTGGAGATAACAGTAATGTAGTTGTGGCTAAAACTGTGGCCTCAGTAAAGCACATGTTGGCTTTTTATTTAATGAGTTTCTTCTGATTTACCATCCAGTTGATTTTAATTTATTAGGCATGCCATGCAGCACAGAAATCAATGCTTTTTTTCCAGCGTAGCTGTTGATCATTTTAAAAATTAAACAGTCAGACCCAAATTAAATGTTCAAGAGCGCTTCGTGAAGGCTTCTCTTCCTCCATCACGGAGAAAGCAGAGTAACTCTAAACACTCCAAAAAAGCCAGAAAAACAAGTGGAATCCTGATGAATCATAAAAAAAGCTTCGTATCTGATCTTGTGTGGAATGACGACGGATAATGAGGAGTTGTGGAGTTAAGACTTCTAATTAGTAGCATCTTAGTGCTTTTGTTCTAACTTTTTCATCTAAATCTGCCTTTAAAACGTCATTTAAAGTTAGATTTTTCCTTCTAAACTTGCTTGTTTTGGCTAGAATATTTCAATGTTTCAACGTGTTGCAGAAAAAAAAGCACAGATTCTCCCCAAAGTCACCAAATTTCTCTAATCTGTGGAATCAGACTGACAGCACCAGCCTTTTAATACCTCGAGTTGGACCGCCGGTGGAGACTCTATGCTGGTTGGTGTCAAAGCAATGCTGCTAAATTAAGTGAAAATGTGAGACAGAGCTGTGAATGTAAAGCGACCCGGCTTTCCCTCGGCTCTGTTTTATTTTACACACTCGCTGCTCTAATCCCATTTGCCAGTCTCACAACGGGATTACCAGAGCCACAGCACTCAGTAACCAATCACACGCTCGCTCTGATCCATATTCTCATCCATCATTCCGAACGTGGACCAGAAAAACACTGAAATTGATCCGGGGGCATCTCCTAAATGCAGAACATTTAATTAGAGAGTAAATTCTCTTTGATTTTTGATCATTTTGTTATAGAAAAACACGTTTGCAGCGTCAGGGTCTTTTTAAATGCGATATCAGGACATTGTCTAATCATGATACTCAATAATATCGCAATAACAATATCACTTGTGAATAATCTTTTTAATCCAGAACATGTTTTGTGTTATTTACCACCTAGATGGACACTAGAGGTCCATCTAATAGCATCTGTGACATATTGTGATCCTTTATTTTATCAATAATCATATCAATAATCAGATAAATCCAACATTTCGCACTGTTTACCCTCCAGGATCTCTGCACCACAGACCAGAGTCATGAAGCTTGTTTCTGATCCCACAGCTGGATCACACCCTCTGCTCTCTCATGCCCAGCAACATCTTTATTTCATTCATCTGGATTCATCTTAGAGCCTTTTAGTCATACATCTGACTGAACATCACACCATAGACCTCTGAACAAAGTGACCCTGGTTTGGTTTTTGGGAACAAATTTGTCAGTTTTATAGATAAAATAAGAAAACAGGCTTTTGCGACTTTCAGAACTTTCATTTTCTATGCTGGAAGTAGCTGAATTTATATTTATTTGTAAAACTGAGACATTTAAGTCACTCCGATTCATATTTACACAGTAAAATAAAAAAAATGTGGTTATTGAAAGCTTTTGCTTGTAAAGTGCACTAATTATTGATTTTGCACATTCACACTTTTCCTTCTTTTTTGCAGCTTTAAATATTATAAAGAATTACAAAAATCTTCCTAAGATTTTGTGTTTTGTAGGTGTGATCACTGTATTCCTTTGTTGTGCACATCAAAAATAAAAGCTTTTCCCTTTTTTACACTTTTTTGTTATTTTATTTAGAAATAAAACAAATATAACACATTTAATTTTTTTATCAGTTTTAGGTCCGTTTTTATATTCAAACACCCTTATATGTTTTTTCTCACAGACTAAAATGTTGATCTGTTGATCAAAGCAAAACAGGATCTAAACAGCAACAATAAATCCAATAAAGTTAAGATAATTTAGAAATGTTGCCGTAAATGAACTTTTTTTGCAGAAAAATGTTCATTTATGGCAACTTTTCTGTTGCTTTGAGTCATTTATATTTCTTTCTGCAGATTCGATCTCTTTTGTTCTTTTTATTTATTTATTTAAAATGTTGAAATCAGCTCCAAAGAGACAAAATAATTTAATTCTAAAAGTTTAAACTCATACATTTATTCAGATATGAGTAAATTATGACTTTTTGTGGAGTGAATCAGCAGGTTGCACGCGCCTGACGTGACCCGGTTGCTTTGACCCGCCTGTTACGCATCAATCATTGCGCATTAGCCGCCAACACCTGCACATTGCAGGAAAAGTTCGCAGTGCGCGCGACCATGTTGATCAATGACACGTTTGTTTAGGTAAATGAAAAGCGTGATTCTTTACATCTGATCGATTTCGAGTCTTTCCAAGTTCAGGCAAATGAAGGAGCAGCGGGAGGAGGTGAGAAAACGGCGCGTGATGGGAGCGTCTGAGCGCGCGCCGCAGGAACCCGCTGTCCGCGGCATACTAATCACACCAACCCGAGCAGAGCGGAGATTTACTCCAACTTCAGGATAAATCCACATGATGTCGGGGATGTGTAGGGTCGACTCACCTTAAGAGGAAGTTCGCCTCGACATGGAAACCGTCTGCTGCTAAAAGTTCACCTTTTCCTCCCCACGTCTCCCAGTTCCGGTCCAAAACAGGAAAGTTGTCCTGGTGGGATTTAGTCCTGATGCTGGAGATGTGCAGCTGGGTCGCGCGTAAATGCTCTCCCTCAGCGGGGATGTGGCGACTCTGATTCCTCCCCCCTCTCTCTCTCCTTCTCGCTCTCCCTGTCTCACCTTCTCTCCCTCTCCTCCTCTATCCTGCGCACTTCTCTCCTGCCCTTCGTGAGGGGAACCCCAGCTGCAGGATCCGGGATTTAGGCTTCCTCCTGCGCAGGGCACGCACAGCAGCGGAGTCGGAACCAGGCAGGATATGAGCTAAACACCCCCCTCTCTCCCTCCTTCTCTCGCACTGTCTGACTGGAGAGGATGGATATCGGATAGAGTTCGACCAAAATAAGTTCGGGTTTTAGCCAGGAACGCACGCGGCGCTTTTGGCCGAAAGAAACGAAGAACCGAAACTCCAACCTGCCAAGTTTTTGGCAGCAGATGGCATGTTTGCTAAATGAATAGCAGAAAAAACTGACATCTTTAACCAGTGAAATAAATCTAACATCCACCTCCCACTGTCTTCAGATTTAATGAAACCTGCAAGTTTTTACCCAGAAAAGGCGCAAATCTTGTTCTAGATAATGCGCTTTGAACGCACATTTTTCTCTCAAATGGAACAGTTTAAACTCAGGCTGTGGAAAAAAAAATCCCATGATTAAAATATTACAGCGAAGTTGCAGAGAGTTTTGTTTTGTGTCTAATTAGCTGCGAAGTGAGCTCCTGTGGTGACAGAGCACTGCAGCACCGGGCTGGCCTCTCCAAGCAGCAGCAGCTCTACTCTCCCAGTCCTCTGGGACCAGCAGCATTAGTTTTAGGCCTAATTAGTGACAGCAAACACACCACCACACCGGCCTCTTTATTTATTAACACATAGTTTCTCTAAACCTTGGCAGGATCTTCTGTTCAAAGTTGAAACACCTGTTTGTGTATTAAATCTCACGTGGGAGTAACCAATCATGGAGTTTTTTCCTCAGTTAGGAATCATAGCTGCTCCTTTTGTGTCTATAGGAGGGGAGCACTGACCCAAACTAATAGAAAGAGCAGCCTCTGTCTGTCAGAGCTGGAAGAGCAGCTGGAAAAGTTGGGATTCTAGACTCAGCAGGAGGGGAAAAAACAGTAAACAAGTTGTTGAGAAGCTCAAAAATATTTCAGCAGCTTCAGTTAGAGGATGTATGCGGCAGAGTGGGTGTGTGGTAATAAAGAAAGAGGTGAAAGAAAGGAGAAGGGGGAGGTTTATCACCGTGGGAGGAGGCGGGGGAGTTTGGTAGTGAGAGTTATTTAATTGGAGAGTGACATTGGGAGCTCCAGCTCTTCCCCATCAATCACGGGCAGTCAGGAGATGCCTGAGGTGATGCGGTCGTCATCCCCGCTGCCCACCTTGCCATTTAACCGCCTCCATTACATCCCTCTCCCTACCCAGCTCCACCCCCCTCCTGACCTCCGCTCACCTGGCCTACAGTTCTTCTCCCCTGTGATGCTCTCTCTGCTTGATGGGCCTTTTTGTTCACAAGACAAACAGTGGAAGGATACGGTAAGCACCGATGGAGGAATAATTAAATGTGACCTCCAACGGCAAAAAGGTCTGATGGGTTCTGTTTCATGTTTAGAACTACGGGGAAAAAAAAACAAGAAGAAAATAATTTGTAGGGATGAAATTGTCCATCAGTAAATTATAAAATACACATTTTAGCACCTTGAAGATGGATACTGTGTTTATTTTGCTAAAAAGATTTATGAGTATACCAATGATCGACAAACACATGTTTACTGCTTTGGTCCTTTACATTGTTTCTATGGTTACCAAAGTAAAACAGGTTTTCATACGTATTGAGTGTCCTTAAAGACCTTTGCAGAGCTTTGCTATCAATCATTCTGTTCCAGATCCCAACTGGTGGTGGAACTTTCTTGGAGTTTATCAGTTTGGAATTTTATTTGTCCACCTCTCGAGGAATGAGCTCAAGTCCTTAAGAATCTGGTGAGCTGTTTCCTGGCAGCTGAAAGTGTTGCAGTTTTATCTGGTACTTGGTTCTGACCTTAGCCTTATGGCATGATGCTCCATCACTAGAAAAGGCATTGCTCATTACCAAATTCTCCTTAACCCTCCCCCTGTCGTCATGGGTGACCCTACCAGGAAAGTTGACCATTGAGCAGGGTTGATGGTTTATTCCTTGAGGTCCATGTGGCAGGGGTGAGGAGTGACCTCAAGGAATAAACCATCAACCCTGCTTAATGGTCAACTTTCCTGGCGGGTCACCCATGAAGACAGTGGGAGGATTAAATGTTTTAGAGGTGTTCCTCCTGGAGGATGTTTGGGTACCATGTTTCTTTTGCGCTTCGTTTTATTTTTATTTTTTTTATTTGTGGCTATTTTTCTGAGGTTAAACAGAGTGAGTTCCCTCCCTGATGCAAGACTAACGCCTAATTTATACTCCTCCATCTGCGTCGGTACGGAGACACGCAACACCATTATTCATAGTGGCGAGGACTCTCCAACAGGCACACAAGGAGTTGAGCCCACTTTCCTAAACATCCATCAAAAGAAATGGACACCACAAGCTAGTGATTGGCCAGCACGCAGCTTCCTTTCAATTTGTCAACAGCCTCACCATTGCCCTCTCAAAAGATTAAAAAGAGAACCAACGATATCAAGTGGCAAGCAAGGCGGCTTGAAGAATACCTTGAGGAAAAACACTATTCACCCATAACTAAAGAAGTATAGAGATATGCACCAAGTGTTTTATTTGTTGATGGAAATGATGGGAAACGTGGGTTTAAAGGTGGCAGGTGCATGAAGCGGTAGAGGAGAATGTGGGACAAATGTGTCCATCTTAAAAAGTTTCAGAAATACAAAAAAATTAAACTGAATATAAACGCAACAATAAATACATACACACTATCATGTACCAGATACACCACTGCAATGGTGGCAGGATAGCCTAGAAAAGCCCTACGCCCTTTGTTGTCCTGGCGAGGAATTGCTTTGCAACACTCTCCAGGTGATGGAGAAGTATAAATCATCCTAACCTTAACCTCGCACCCAAAACTTTGTTCCGAATTGTAACGTCCCTCTCCAACACTGTTAACGGGAAGTTTAGAATGACCAACAGGGTTAAGGTTAGGATGGGGGTGAGGGGAAGGGGGTAAAGGTCAGAATTCAGTCAAAGCTCTGTTTTACTGTGGGCTTCGGGAACCGGCACTCTGGCACAGTGCGTGGGAAACAAACGTTTGCTCACCCAGCGTCATTTTTTGACGCTTCGGTTTGTAAGAATGTGTTGATGGAGCAGCCTCTGCATTGGTGGTACCCTGATCCCGCAGCTGGGTCATCTTCAGGTCCTGGAGTTTGCTGGACTTTCTGGAGCTCTTTGAAACCTCTTCCACAAATGCAGCAGAAATGTTTTATTCGGCATTAGGTTCATTGTCTTCACAAATAGGGACTTTATTGTATCTGTAGCGGAAATCCACATTTTATATCGTCAGGTTAACTTTGTGTGGATTTACATGGAAAAGAATAATAACATTTTCACACAAAGGTTTCTTTCACACTTAGCTGAAAAAAGGGGGAATTGGAAACTGACCTACAATCACATAAATCCCAACGGACCATTTTCGAACATCTGGCTAACTCCTACATCTTTTCCCAGGAATGTAAATTTTACCAAGTGACTTGTTCGTTTCCCTCCTTAAGCAATCGAAAAGACTGACATTATCAGGACTTGGTCTGGTCCATGTCAACCTGACAAGACCTGGCTCTCCCCAAGGTTTGAATGCTCGTGAAACTTCTTAAGGGTCATTCTGGAAGATTCCAGGATCTCGCTTTTATCAAAACCCTGGTATTTTTCTGTTTATCTATAATCAAAGGTGTTTAGGTTGTTCACCCTTAAAATAGAAATCAAGGTGCTCTAATTTAAAATCTTATCAGCCACAGACCTTAACTGTTTGTTTTGTAATTTCTTTCATGTTAAACTTCTGCCATTGGCGTTCACCAGTTCAAAACCATGCTAAAAGTGATACAGTCAAGCTTAAGACCTAAAGTTAATTCTTTCCCGTTTAAAGTAATGCTTTGATGCTAAAGTAATACTTTTTGAGGCTTTATATGAATAACTGTGTTAAATTGGGAGCATGAAGTTCCCATGGTTGTAAGAGTGGGTTATGTGAAAGAACCACAGTGCCATCAAGTGGTTAAGGAGTAAAATACATGTGGGCGTGACCATGAAGGTTATAAAAGCCACAGTGCAAACCTCGCGTCGGCAGAAGAGAAAAGAACAAAGGATGCCTTAAGCACATCCCTGCGGGCTGTTTTCCATCTGGCCCAGCAGAACCTGGTGCTTTACAGTAATTAGCTCTCAAAAAGTACAGTAAAACTTAGAAGCAACTCCATTGTTTTGTTTTGACTTCCTACGTGAAACCGGAGGTCTGCGTGTTCTTCGAGTTTTCATATTAAGAGTAAGAGCAATTTGGAACAGTTTGATGATTCGGCTCCATTTGGAATAATTTGGACCCGCAATCTGAATTCCACATTTCGAGGCCGCTGAAGTGAAGGAACCTAAAGTCCAGCCACTCCCGGGGAACGAGATTCTCCTGAGCTACAGACACCGTTGACCTAAGCTGAGGTGCCAAAAGTCCTACGGCCCCTGAAGGCCGCATTCAAGCTTCTGGACCGGCTGAACCAGCCCACAGGACACCTCTTTGTCGACGGAAGAAGGTCTGTGAAGCATCTCATTTGGGTGACTTTTGTGCAAAGCCCGATCAGTGAATTCCGATTAGTCCATTTCTTTATGGCATGTTTTTATTTCAATCCCAGATTCACGTTAGCCTTCAAGATCCCCTTTCTTCTTCTGCCATAACAAGCCCCGACCACACACACACACACACACACACACACACACACACACACACACACCCTCCCTTGGTTCTCCTTTCCGAAATTATTACTAATAGTTACTATAATCCTGGTGTCACCGAATTTCCACTTTCATTAGGGATCAGTTATTTCCTATCACTGCCATAAAGCTTTGGGTTAACAATTTTCTTAATACCATGCATGAAACTAAACTGTTTGGTCCTTTTTGTCAATGTAACTGATGTTGTAATAAACTCACAAAACTTAAATAACGCCTGATTATTTCTAGCGATCTCGAGAATAGCTGACGCATTCTGACAAGAACTAAGCATTCAGACTAATTTGTGGTGTTAAAATTTAGACTGATGACCTTGAACAAAATCTAAATATCCCCTCGAGTGTTCCCAGTCACACTAACAAAGGCTGGGTGGTGCCCCAATTAATTAATATAAGATCATAA